GACTTTTTTCTATTCTAAATTCAATTGAAATAGCAAGTTTCACAATATAAAAAAGATCGACGATCGATTTTGTCACATGTGATAAAACGAATGTCCACTATGCTGACATCACTCAGGTCAAGACAATAGTCTATTTTATTAATTCAAAAAAATACAAATATATACAAAATAGTCTAATTCAACATTAACACTAATACTAATACTATATATAGTAAACAATAGTGATACAATAACGTCATACAAAACATACAAAATAGTTTAATTTATGAAAACTTCTGAAAATGCTTTTTTCAACATCTATTTACTGTTATGAAAACCAAATCAGCATTGAATCATCTCTATCAGACCTTTTTCGTTTAACAATTTCAATCTCTTGTATTCATTTATCACACTCCTACCCACCTTCAAGGAATCGAAGTCAAAATCAAAAACGTCCATCAAATTCCAGGAAGGAGATCAACTCATCACCACATAGATCTGACCAGGAGCAAACATATTTTGATCTATGGTCAAGGTGACGTGCAGCAACATTAAGCCTTGGGTCTTGTGGACGGTTAATGCAAAAGAATTCTGTAAAGGGATTTCACTTCGGTTTGAATACTGGAAAGAAATGAGACATTGTCGCTGGATTGCTTGGGTTGATTTTCTGGATTTGGTTGTAGAAAGTGGGAAATGACGTAATGATTGATTTTATGATCCATGGTTTCAAAAAATTAAGTGTAGACAATTTATTTAAGATTTGGGGATTTTTTTTTTGTTAAAAAAAAATGCTAATGAGCAAAAATTTATTTACTTTATTGAACAAAAAAATCTAAACACATCAATTTAAATTTAGATCGGAAATTAATTTCACAACAGAAACCATCAGATCCTTCATTGTTAAAAATTCATTCAAGGCTTGTGCATTTCTTTTAAACCTTTTTGATTTAAGAAATTTAACCTCTTATACTCATTTATGACATTGACGTCCACTTTCAAGCAGTCAAAATCAAAAGATAGAATGTCCAACGACTTCCAGGAAGAAGCTCAACTCATTGCCATGTAGATTTGTCCTGGTGCAAACATGTTATGGTCTATAGTCAAGGTTGCACATGGCAGTGTTAGGCCTTGAGTCTTGTGCACTGTAAGAGCAAATGCATTCTGCAACGGAAGTTGATACCTTGATGCTGGTATGCCATTTATATTAAAATTTGCAGTGCTTTTCTGAACGTTGATTTTCACCACATTATCAGTTGTTGGGAATGTAACTTCAACATTGTCATCATTAATAACTTTAGTTACCCCTCCTATTGTCCCATTGCAGATGTTGTGCTCGAAGAGTTGGTTGTTCAAGAACATAATGGATTTTTGGAGATTTGTGTGATTTTTGAAAGGCAAGTTGTGCCCACCATCGATCCTCTCATGATTTAAAGTGTCAACTGCTAAGGAAACAACAGGATTAGAGCATCGGTCATCAAAAGGTAAGTGCTCACAAACGAAGGTGTTTATTTGGTCTGATATTTCATGGGTACTAACAATGTGGGTGGTGTTTATCATCACCCTGGAATTTTGAGATCTTTCTATATACCTTTTCATTGATCAACAATTTTGATTTTTGTGAGAGGTGCCCAAATCTCAACTTCTCAAGCAAATGGAAAAAATCCAAATCTTCCTTCTGTCATTGTGGCCTGGACAAGAACAGAGGGAAAAATGCTTTCCATGCTGGTGAAAAGAAAACTTGTTCTCTGTTCATAGGAGGCAGTTGGAAAAGATCACCAACCAACAGCACCAAAATTCCACCAAAGATCTTGTGGTTGTTGTGCAACGAACTAAAAAGGTTACTCAGGTAGGGTTCCTAACCATAATTATAACTCCATATTCGAGTATTCATAAATCCAAAATTATGAATTTCGAATATTATTTTGGATACTTGTAATTATTATGGATACTTGTAATTATTTACAGGAGGGAACGTACTGGGAACACAAAATTAACAGGAGGGAACACAAAAATTTAACCCATGCAATTTTGTTG